GTACCCAGTACAAATCAGTTTAAATCATTGTTATCACAATCATTTCAAAAACTGTTGATATATGGATGCATTTTTTTAATACATTTTTATTTTAATTGCTTATTTGGTTCTAAATACTTTAGCTCAAGCTCCATCGAGCAAAAGAAAGTTATATGAAGGCTAAACTTTTAAGTGGAGTGTGCTAAAAAAATCATGTGGAGAAATTTCAAAATAAATAAACAGTCGAGAAAGCTGGGACAGTCTGATTAAATATTACCCACAATAAAAGTTCATTACACTAAAACAGATTTCTATCACATCCACTTTGTATAGAATCGATGCAATGAATGGGCCAATCACCCATCGGTCAAATTGCAACCTTTTTGGCTAAAGAACCGCTAGTTTGCAGACCTAATAAGCAACGCTGATCAGTATATGAATTCTTGAGAATGAAATATTTTAATAAAACAACCGAATTATTCAATAACAAAATATGGTGGTATATATAGAGAACAATAATCGGAGCAGAATAACATCCATGCATTCACTCAGCTGATTTTTTTATGATACAGATAGGAAACAATAGTATAAATTATTTGGAAAAACAGGTGTACAAAACTTTTACGCCATTTGCATCTCCGTCTACATCACATACAGAGGGAGACTAAGAGAATATGCTTTCAACAGTGTGACTGTATATGATTTCCTCCACAATGAACAAAAAGTCAATATTTTGAAATCTATGTATGAACAAGCTTCCATGTATTGGAATATTTCGAAGATCTTTCCATCAAATTGTTTTAAATAAATTTATTTGTTATTAAAGGATGCTACGGTTAACATTGAATTGTTATGGTAATTTTAGTTCACGCTCTTAATTACAAATACTTTATCTTTACTTCAAATTTTCTGAGCTTTACTTATCTAACCTTGTTAATCAAGTGTTATTGCAGTTGTGATTACGCAACAAAGAGCACTAATCCTCAACTCCTAGAAACATCTTTTTAAGCTACTTGCTTTTGTTCAACAAAATACTTATAAAAATATCTTATGAAAAATTAACAGCACAAACTTTTCTTATAATTTGCCTCGATCTATTGCATTTTTACTGATCTACCAACCTGGTCAATACTTTTTTTATGTGATCGAAACTATGCACACTTGTTTCTGATAGTTAATGCTATAGCTCTTATGTTGTAGGTAGCTGAAGACAAAACCATGACTAAATTTTAACTAATATTTTTTGACTACATTTTTTTCCTGAACTTATTAAAATTAACAAGTGAGAAGGATTATATGGAGAAAAATCTTTGACAAAATGACATTTTTAGGGAAATGAATTACAATACTACACATACCTTAGAGTCGACTTCACCCACATCTACTCCACCAACATGATGAAAAAGAATAACGTTTGAATTTCTTTGTGTGTACATACATAGATAGTACTCTTCTTGCTTCAACGACAACAGAGAGTTGTTTTCATCAAATTTCATTTGAAGTAATAGAATAAATGAGTAGTGAAAAATTGCCATGATTAGAATAGATATCAATGTAGTAATGAATGTAAATTCACACATTTATAAGGCTAGCCAGATTAATTTTAAAGTGGACAATAATAGTTCAATATATAAAATGAAGCATAGAGTCAATGTATGCTCCATGTACTGAAACGAGTTTCTAGACTATGACTTCATAAGGTAAAATTAGTTCAAATTACCTGTTCATGTGGCACAAATGGTTCAATAAGGAAGCGATCCAAAATTCCACAGGTAGAACCAATCTAAAGTAAAACAATACAAACCAAGATATTGTGAAATTGAAACAAAAAAAACTAAACAAATATAGGTTGCGTTGATGGGCAAATTGAATATCTACTTAAATTCCTGTTGACTTGATAACACATTGAACGAAACTTAGGATCAAAACAAAATATTATGCTGACAATCTATCTTACCATTAAGAGGGAAACTAATTACAACCAATTAAAGTGTAGTTTTAGTACTTAACCAAACATAAAACTAAGGAGAAAGGGTGGTAGTAGAATCATTCATGTCAGTTTTGATGCTTTGTTGTTTAATGATGATGTTATATTTACATAGATAAATGTCGGTATAAATGAGCAACGAAGGGTACATGCACCACAAAAATAAAGTGAAATTATGAAGAAAAAGAGGAAGGATTATAATCAAAAACAGATAAATGAATTAAATAGGTGAATAAGAATAGTTTCACTTATTCCATCCATTTATCTGTTTGAATGAGAGTAGCGGGATGTGAATACACAATTTCATCTGTGTTAATGTAGAATAGCAGCTTGAACTGATGTACGTACTAAGGAAGTTCTGCATTGTAGCTGATTGACTGGGTGAATGAGAGTAGTGCATAATGAAATAGTCCAGTTTCAACATAGGTAGCATGAATTCTTTTAGCAAAGTCACAATTTCATATTCAGAATGTAAAACAGCACAACACTACCGTTACTAGCCTCTGTTCTGAGCTGTCTGATGTCAAAAGTCCTGGAGTCGAACCATTTATACGATCCCGGTAAGAGAGTAGTGATGGGGCGGCAAATGCAATTTTTGCACATTATTTTAAATGTCACAGCTCCGCGTAATGAACTGGAGAGAAGGAATTACTTAGTGGAGCAATAAAGCTTTGATTCAAAATCAAAGGATTACAAAGTTCGAAAGATCACGAGAGTCAGTCGGTCAGTTGCAACGTAGAACTTCGTACGTAAGTACATCATTTCAGGTTGCCATACCACATCAGCACAGAGACACAATTGTCAATTCAAATCCCATGGTGGTAGAGATAGTAGGAGTACTACTAGTAATGGAGAAGATCAGGGTTCGAAGATGTTATTCAAGACCACGAGAGAACAAAAGGTGTACGAACCCATCTCTTGCTTTCGACTACCATAACAGCTGCTTCGTTATTGTGGATAAAACATCATGTCTACGGCAACTCACCAAAGGAATAAATACTTATCGATGACAGTAAAGGTTTATCGATAATATTAAATCCCAATAAAAAGAACCTTGAAACACTGATGACAATAATCTTCAGAAACGGAAGCATACGTTATACGTCCATGTGCAGTGTTGCTTATATTTACTAGCCAGCTGAGCTATTTTCACAAGTAGGTATAATAAAAATAAACTTGAATAGGTATACATAATGGATGTCAACTACTAGCTTGATCTTTATAATACTCTAAAGGAAATATAACTGCATAACTCTTGAAAACCTGGTGCGACAAAATCGTAAGTAATTTTCTTCAGAGTGCTTTTACTTACATCCAAATACAAAGAAGAATTTATAATTTTTTTCGTCATATGAAGAAACAAATAAATGTAATTACCGTGAATTTACTCCCCAACAAACTTTTTATTTCCTTCTGTAAATCCACCCATTTGAGGCCTACGAAAACTAGCCCCAATTTTCCTCTGCGTTTTATAAGGACATCGGGCTTACTAACAAGATTCTATAACGGAATAAATCGGTATATGTTAAAAATCTTCCCTACGTTGTGTAATATCCACTCATCGGTCGCTAAACAAAGATCCTCACTTGTTTTAACTACGCGAAGTGGGTTTTTCGCAAGCTTAGAGTAACAAATAGAATGGTATATGATCGCCTTGGCGGACTCTTCGTAAACAGCCTTCGAAGACATTTGACTTTATGCATCTAGCTAAAACTGTACATTCTTTTGATGCTGTAAAACAAAACATCTTTTAACTACTTATAACTTTAACATCTGTTTGGTCGTTTCACCTTAACTTTTGAGAGCACACATTTTTGCATCTAATTCATAGGAACTTTATTTGGAACTTTAATAGTAAATTCGACCTACTATCAAGTGACTGTTTGTCGTTCGTCGGTCTGGGTCAATGTTGATCTGTTTAGTGCCATGAAGATTAATACATTTTGTGTCATGTTAATGTGCCTCAAATACCCCGAATTGAGTCAAATGTGCCCTATAAGTGAATATCCATGAGTTTACTTGGTTGTTGACTTTATCTCTTCCGAAAGCAGTGTTTTGACGCCAGTATTCAGTCGTTAGAGGTAAGAATGAGATTTCCAGATTCCGAAAGTGGACAGTTTGGCGTAAATTTATGCAGTGACATGCAATTCAGCAAAATTTTAAGTATAAGCTACAGAAAAATATAAGTTGTGACAACCAATATCTTTTTCACGAACTAGCATAAACCAATCGATTTATTTGCGCTCGATTCTTGTTCTTTCGGTACAGTTCCAGATGTTTGGCAGTGTCCAATAAATGAGGGTCTAGCCACTTAAGTGAAATAATTCTAGTCACTTGGCAGTTGGTCGCGAGTTTTTATGTATCGGGATTTGAACGTAAACGTTTGTTTCAGGGCAGTAGGCTCTCTGGATACCAGCAGCTATCACACCATCAGACCGGAGATCAATTAGTTGCAATGTGACGAAACACAAGGAGAAAATTCTAGTGATAATGACTAAAAGATTTCAAAACTAAGTAAATAATAGATAATTTAGTTTATCATTTGGTAGTGAAGATTGTTCGAGAGAACTGAAGTGTAGGCAAGGGAGAGGAAACAGAGATAACAGGCGAGATATATTAATTAGGTGATCTAAGGGGGTTGCAATAATAACGACTAGCAGGTCTCAAAACATGCATCACGCACAGCTTGTCAAAGAGGGAGACGATAATCCGTATGTGAGTACGTGTTTATCAAGTCTCTTCTTAAAGTTGTCCACTGAGGGGCTTTGGTCACCTAGGCTGAATGAGCATTCCAAGTTGCGATCACTCTCAATAAGAAACAGGGTGAACGAACCTGAATATTCGCTCTTTGATGTGCAATCTTTCGAGGATTGCCTCGAGGGTGTATTGGTGATGCATCAGTAAAATGCTCACGTTGGAATGGTTTGGCGAGCTTAATATGTTGTACGCCATAATCAGATCACCTCTGATTCTCCTGTAACTCAGTGGGAATAATCCCAAGTGCTGTAGTCCATCTTCGTAAAGTTCATTCTTCAACCCTATCACCCAGTTGGTTGCTCGTCTCTGCACTCTTTTGAATAGAGTGGGTGCGATGACATTGTGAACCTCCAGGACTGGGCGCGCGTATATCTGCTAAAATGTTAAGGATAATTTTGGGTTGAAAGCACGGTGTTGTCTTCGCATAAAGTGAAGAGTTGCATTAGAATTGGCTATTAAACCGAGATCGCTATGTGAGGAAACATTAGGGAGCGGAATTCCAATGAGGGTGTCAATAGTTTGCATCATGTGGGGCGTTGTGGGTTTGCGTAGCATTCTAAACATGTCAATGCCTGGTTTAACTGATCTGCCAAGTTTGTGTTGAAGATCTCAGCCATCACTAATTTGGCGGGGTCTTCTCAGTTCGGTCCTTTGCGAGAACACAATCCCTGATTCGTTGGTTTTCTTTCAGTCGTAAACCCGAACAGATTCTTCGGGTTAGCATGTATTTTGGCAGCTAGCTTTATCTGAAATCATCTACTATCACTTCAAACTTTGGTACTGCATCTGTTTCTCGATAACAAGTAAGAACTTCGTGCAATTTTTTCCTTGACAGGCGAAAGAAGTGACTTGAATTTTTCGCTTATTTCTTTGCGCAACGTTCATGTTTCCTCGTATTCACCATTAATTTCTTTTTGACAGCCTTTCTGAGTTATCATGACATATGAAGGATTTAGTCTTCATCTTAAAACTTGAACTTTTAATAATTCACTGAGATTTTGATGGTAATTGACAGTACTGACGTTTTAGCTTCGAATTTATAGCCACTTCTATCTTCATTTATTCTGTCCTTTGAAAATTCAAAAAGGGATGGCTTATTTTCAAGTTCTTAGCGGTCTAATAGGTGATAAAACAGGGTATATGTTTGACGAATACAGATTATCAGTTCTTCTTTTAAGGTGTTTAGTCTCGTATAGTCGGAGCCTTATAACCTGAATTTGTAGTCCTAACAATTTTTCCAGCAACAAAACACGTATCTCGTGGATCGTGCTGAGTTATTTGTTCTGGACCGGGGGACTAATTTAGCTGTTTAACCTTCGTACTCAGTTTACATCCTCAACAGACTTAGTATTGAGTATGGACGTATATAATATTGAAATGTTACGCATACGGAGTTGTATACTCCTCTTAAGTTTGAATCCTTTTAATACCCTTTGATACAGTCGCGCGTACCTATGCATATTTGTTACCGGGATTCCCTGATTATATTGGTGTAGAAACACCTAGACACTGGTTAGTTTCACTTCATTTCTGTGCACTGCAGATTAAACAAGTCTAATTCACTTCCGGATTTATTAAACTACAACACAATTTTGGATGCTCTATTACTAGTGTCATTTTCATTCTTATACAATTTCTGGAGATCTTAAGCCCTACAATCAATGTATATCCAAAATTATAATAAAGTGATCTAATTTCGGCACGATTTCTATACTACTGTTGTTTCACTCTTGTCTCAAATTATTGCTATCACTTTCGGTAGTTTTTTACTAAAGTATATACCAGCTGATTCAAGTTGTCGAACATAAATTGAAGAACATTTTTTCTAGTTATCAGTGAATTCATTTCATCGCGGTCATTCAGTATAAATAAAATGAATTGGACGTGGAACCGAAAGAAAAAGAATCGACCGCGAAGAAATCAAATTGGTTTCCCGATTCCTAGTAACAGCGTTGCTCACTCGGGTGTCCCACGATATGTGAGCAATGCATCGAAGACACCTATGATCGAAAACCAATAGCCTACGAATATCTTCTACTCTCATTGGCCATGTTTCACAGCCATAAAGTAAGACGGAGCGAACCACTGCGCAGTAAACTCGTCCTTTAGTCAGCGAACGGATATCTCGCCTACGCCATAAGTGACGCAGGTTGGCAAAAGCCAATTGAGCCTTCTGTATCCGGGCTGAGATTTCGTCAGTCACCATGCCATCAGCACTGATGAGACTCCCAAGATAAGAGATAAGATAAAATTAAACAAAAATGGAGAGAGTGGACAGCCCTGACGGACACCACTTGATGTAGAGAATTCAGATGACAGTTCGCCATAAGCTCTCACTCGACCAGTGGTGTTTGAGTAGAGAGCTTGTATGAGGTTAATGTACTTATTTGGTACACCTTTCAATGACAGACACTGCCACAGAACCTCACGATCCACTGAGTCGAATGCCGCCTTAAGGTCCAGGAACACGACTATTGTCGGACGTCTAAATGTGTGTCTGTGTTCCAGGACCTGTCGTAGTGTGAAGGTGTGGTCTATACAACCACGTCCAGGTCGAAAACCAGCCTGGTTTTCTCGAGTCTGCTCTTCGCGAGCTCTAGTTAGACGTCTAAGTATAATCGAGGCTAACAATTTAGAAACTATATTAGTTAAACTTATTCCCCTGTGATTGTCACAAGAGGACTTCTGTCCTTTCTTGTAGATTGGGACAATTAGCGACTGAGACCAGTCGGATGGGATTACGTCCATTTCCCAGATTCTACCTAGGATCTCGGTCAGTTTAACCGTTGAAACTGGACCATCATCCTTAAACATCTCAGGGGTCAGTCTATCAGGACCCGCAGCTCGCGCTCGCTTCAGACTTCCTAACGCTTTCTCAACTTCATTAAGACCAGGGAGACTTACGTCGATTTGCCATTCAGGATGACTGGAGATCGTGGGTAACTGAAGAGTGGCTCGAGGCCAGTTGAACTGATCCTTAAAGTGTTAATAATAATAATAATAATAATAATAATAATAATAATTTATTCTCAAATAACAAACATGTTAGAAGAGACATGCCAATTTACAGGCAAGATCAAAATGTTAAGATTAACAACATATTTCTTTTAAAACGGTATGCATTTACTGAAACATTTCACAAGATTCATTGTTTTCTTAAAGATGGAATGTTCAATGCGAATAATTGGCGCAAGTTACGAAGGTTGCGTTACGACAATCATCTTATGGACTGAGAAACGATTCATGGTAGAGATAGGTTTGCATATAACAAGAATTGATGCGGTAAATGTACAAAGGTATGGTTGATATTCATCAGCTAATGATTTTATATGTTCTTGGGTAGGGTAACCAAGTCTACTGCAAATATCCAGACTAATATATGAGGAGTGGAATAAGGTTCTGAAAAAAGAGGAATAAAGAAGACGGGACGAGGAGCGGAACAGAAAATACGTTTATAGATAAAACAAAGGTATGTTTACTCAGACTTTTTAATGTCATTACTGTACACCTGCACTTATGTAGGTTAATGAACACAAATTATTGGTGAGAAAACTATTGGGAAGTTAGTCGAAAGAATAGAGGAAATTCAGAAGTACCAAGTTGTTAGTAATAATGTTGATTTACAAAATATCATAAAGAGGCTCAGTGATATAATTTTTTGTTTTATATATTCTTTTTATTTTTAACTCTGCAGCTCAAGAAATTATGAATGAGCTCTTTTTTAGTATAGTTATCCAGACCAGCTTGTAATAGGATTTCTCGGTAGGAAGTAAAAACCAGTGCAAGGTTACAGACATGAGTTGTAGACGAGGTTAACAAGGAAAAGTAACATCAATATCACTGATTTGTTACATCCTGCCATATCGTAAGGAGCCGTAAGCAAACAAAATGTTCTGCCACACAGACATGGGTAGATTGAGGTTATCGCCCCACCGTCATGAATGCTGGTCAGAAACT